AATTCACAACATAAAGCAACACGCGTCTTCATTCATACAATTCACTAGATAAGTAACATATATCTCCTCTCACACAGCAAAAACCATAAACAACTCGCTTTCTCATACAGTAGCCTACATAACATAATCTCATCTTGCTTATTAATTAAAGTGAACTATGATACTGTACTCTTTAAGTCAAACTTCCTGAATAACAAAATTTATAAAGAAAAACGTAGTGGTTGAAATCAGTACCTTTCATTCTCGGCATCAGTGATTCTTCTACCATCTCAAGCAAGTACTGTGACTTCAATTAATTATGTAAAATTGGAAACTTGGAGACAAATAAACAGGTCTGTTATTTAATTTTAATTAGCAGGCCTCTTTGAAAAGTAAGCACCCTCTGCTGTAAAGACATGATAAGTACAAGGTACAACTTAGTACAAGTCAAAGACGGAAAAACTTAACTGCGTTTGATTTCACGCACCACAACTGGATAAGATGTAATTGATCAAACCAATGAAATTTTAGTCATAGCAGATTTTAAGCAGGGCATATTTTCACACAGCAATGACGTCTTTAACATGTTTAATTAAGACGAGTGTAAAAAAAATTCAATGTAACAAAAAAAAGGAGTAAAAATATGCAACATAAAATAAACCATGGCACGTCCCAAAAGATGGTGGTGCTGGAAAGACCATGAACCCGTGAAAAAAGGCCGAGAGAATGATGTGTGAAGCTCTTCAGATGTCGGCCGGAGGCACGGTGATAAGTCCTGTGGTGCGGAACACGTCGAGGCCCTTGTGTAGGACGCAGACGCGAGAGTAGCCCAGACGCACCAGCTCATTGGCAAACTGAAAAAAGAAACACTTTACATTCAGCTCACCCCAAAAGTAAAATATAATAATAATCTATTATTATATACATGATCACTGTTGTATTTTGTGATAATATCTGAAAATTTACAAAGTTGCATTAGCAAGCAAAATGACAGTTAATAGACAAAACCTGTCCTCGTCGTTTTATGCAAGACATTCTGAAATTATGCAAACTGAGCCCAAAAATGTGACATTATGCGATTCTGTTAATTTTCTAAAAGAATGAAAAAGGAAAATAAGCAGAAATTATGCAAAAAATAATCAAATTTTGCTAAATTATGCGGGGTGCATAAAACCACGGGGACAGCAAACCAAAGTGAAGTTAAAACAGAAAGAAAATGCTTAGAATATAAGTGTTCTCCGTCAAAATTATGGGGAAAATGGAAAAACGGAATCCCTGAGCATAGCCTCAGCCCATCCCTATTTCAAACTGTGCGACTTAGTACAAAACAGTGTCATAGTGGAGTTGCAGTTGTGTCTTACAGATATAGGAAACAGAGGGTGCCGTAGTATGGCTCCAGTAGGGAATGGGATAGAGGGTGCCCAAGTCCCTCGTGACTTATTAGAGCAGAGGAAGATAGGACTAACGCTAACATTACTTAAACGCAATCCCACATCATCACTCATCACAACCATTATATCTAAAATCATCACTGCTCTCAGATCAATGACTTACAACTATAATCCTGGAATCTCTATCTGCACTTACGGTTACTTGTTATACTAAGTATGCACGTAATACACCATTGGACACTCTCATACGCACTTTTTTTCTACTAATCAGATGGAGTTGATCTCATATAAATGGGCAAGGGATAAAAAAAAGGAAACAGAGGGTAGTGACTGTCGTTGATGCAGGGTGGTGGTGGTGATTGGGGGGAAGGGGGGGGATGATGTCCTTTTTTTTACTCAGTTCAGAATTCAAAACTCATACTCATAGACTAAAAGTCTACGTACAACCTAAAGAATAGATACAGGACGTACAGTTGAGCATGCATAGCCAACAGATTATCAGGTTCTGAATTTTTCCTCACACATGGTACATTTTTTGAATCTGAAACATGCACAGTGCAAAACTTGTATATATATATATATATAAATATACAACTAAAAGATTTCCATGTCCCGTCCATTTCGATGTGTATTGTAGACTGTATATCATTCTGAAGAGCATGAAATTGATTAATAATAAAATCGGTACATTTAGTTTTAGCGTATTTCCACTAGAAAGTAGAAAGTACTCAATGTGGTTTATAATAATACTAATAATAATATAAAGAACATAGTTCTAACAGTAGTGATCCTTTCACTCCCCCCGTTCCTCGCTCTATAATATTGAAATAACCATGACAACATAAGAGATTATACAAAACATCCACTGGCACTCACATTGGCAGCATTGCGTCCCCTGTTGCCTACAACAATGATAACTTGGTTCCTGCGAGAATTCAAGGTCTGCACCGCAGAGCAAGGGTTCAAATCACCCTCAGGGGAGAAAGCTGTTTGGAAAGGGATGTTAATACTGTCCTGCAAAGTCCCACGGCGGAAACTGGGGCAAAAGTCAGGAAAATGTCAACAAATAAAAATTGTGCCTTTTGTTGACTCATAGATGCTAAACTAATCTATAAAGATAGAGAGAGGCATTTTTTTTTTAGAGTGAAACGTAGAAATGCAGACAAAAGTTTTTTCCCCCATACTCCACTTTACCACTTTAAACAACCCTCCCCGCCCAAAAAAAAAAGAAAACAACAACACAGGATATCAAATTTGTTGACTTTCTTTACCTTCTTTCCCTCTAAATTTTTTACTCTCGTGCACCAATTTTTAAAAATACCCAGGGTCTATTTTATGACCTGTATCCTGTAGAGCAATTGATTTTTACACAGAAAAAACAAAAGAAACGAGAGCTAGAACTTCGCTTAAAACAATACGAAATTATTTGCAATGGGGCTTTTAGTTTTAGTAGAGGTTTTATGGCGCTCGCAACTGCATAAGGTCATATAAGCGCCAGAAGATTAGAGGTGTTACAAGAGAGTAACAAACATAAAAAAGAAGAAGGGGGAGATAAGGACGATAGATGTCTGATAGGAAAGAAGAAGCAAACCACACCAGAGCACCCGCCAACCACTCACGTGGGACTTTCAACAAACCACGAACAGATCTACTGCTTTCTACAACATGCTGATTAATAATAATATAGCAAAATAACACAGACAAGTCCTTTTTAGTTTTTAGTAGAGGTTTCACGGCGCTCGCAACTGCATAAGGTCATATATGAGCGCCAGAAGATTAAAGGTGCTACAAGAGAGTAACAAACAGATAAATCTGACATGACAGTGGGCCACAGAAAGTCTACAAAACAGCAGGACACAATCATGTATACATAGCATGGCCTTGTGACTTGCACAACAGGTAAAAAGGATACTCTTCCGGGCTTCTCACATCCACGATGAGGATCATAGGCTTGCTTGTCTGACGTTTCTTTGTGGGACTGCGAGAGTAAGCTGCCCCTGCCAGCTCGCCAAGCTCGATTAGATCCTCTGCCGAAATCCTGCAGCATTTCTCTCCCTTTAGCTCATCGATCGGGATGGGTTCCATCGACTGGACAGAACAAAACAAGATAAGACAAGCCAGGGTAGGTGTGTATAATAATCTGAATGTCATTCTGCACAGCCACAATAGCCTTGAGGTCCTTGAGGAGAAGTCTCGTGAATGATTATAATATTATGAAAATGTTTTTAGTTAAGAAAACTGAAGTCTTTCCCTAGGGATAGGTATTCCCCATTTCCATGTGATTAATCTTTAGCTTCTCAAGCTGTGTTTACAAAAAACATCTACAACTATAACTTTGATAAAATAATAATAAAAATGGATGGTTGACCCTTCACCCAAGGAGCAAAAATTTTGAGCCAATAAATCCATAATGGTACCAGTAAAGACATTATTAAATCAACCCAAAGCTGCACCTGAAATACCTCACCATATCTGAAAATATACTTTTGTTTTTCTACTAGGTTGTCATACTTGCGACTCTCCTCACAACTTCATAATCATGATTAGCAGTCATTAGGCTTTTGACAAAAATGGCAGGGTTTTTTTTAGTAAACTGTGATAATTATAATCATTATTATATTATAATCATTCACGAGACTTACAATTTTTACAGAGAGTCTAAGTCACTCAAACAGCTATACAAACTAAGACCTGATAGAAACTGAACTCAAAATCTGAACTCACCAGCTCCGACTGCGGCTGGTCATGGTAGTCGCGGCTGTAGTACGACAAGTTGGGACGATCCTCCGAGGTTTTCTTCTTGTTTGGTCGAGCGTGCTGTCTGTAGGTGGCGCTTTTTGGGGTACTGCAGAAAATCTTGATCGAGTCTTGCACACAGCGCTCTATGTCAATCTCTGCAAAGGATTTGTAGTGTACAGGATAGTTTAATACCAAGCAAAAGATTCCCTATGAAGTATATTATCAAAACAATAATTATTACTATTACACCAAAACTAAGGGTACACAAATTTATACAGGTTACGTTGCAGGAGGGAAGAAGGTGCCATTGGTAGGTCCTACTTCTTTTCTTTCCCTCTGTTATGTCTATCAAAATCTGTTCGTCTCACTTTTTGCCTAAACTAAACAATTATTATAACTTATGGTATCGATATGCTTCACTTTATTCAAACCACCGTTTTACTTCTTAAAAGAAATTAATGAACACTCTGCCACTCCCATCCCAAACAATCAAAATTCATATAATCTATACCTTTCATAATTTATCAAATTGTATCAAGTTATTTCATTTTTTGTACAAACTGGTCCTAAAATAGCTCTTGTATGTGATGGAGGTACAAAAAAAAAATTAACCTCAAAACTATCAGTACTAATTATTTAACAAATTGGTTCATACACCCTTGAGGAAGATCCTTGAAAAAAAAGAGAAATCCAACGAGCTATCAATACCCAACCAGATATTAAAACCTAAAAACACTTGAACCTGCTCTAACCTGTCCAAGACAATTACCTGAACAAACAACCATCTCCCATATCCTCTCTTGCATTAAAAAAAATATTGTAATGACACTGTCCATGATACCCACTTGTCTAACTTCTAAGACAACCACTTTTATCCTTGAAAACGAGTGACAGTCTTGGACAATTTCCACTGTTTATTATTATACCAACATACAACGTGACCTACCAGGCATGTCAGAGAACAGCAGAATGCACTCGTTGAACCCAAACGAGAGCAGGCGGTCTCTCAGCTGCTGCAGGATGGACACGCCGATACACAGGGGGAAGGAGGAGTTGCCCAGCAGTAGCGTGTCCCACAGGTGGACGATCTTGTGCAGCGGGAACACGTCTGAGAGAGACCAGCTTGTGTTTACAGAATAGGCAGGTCCCCGTGGTTTTATGCAAACCACATAATTCAGCAAAATTTGATCACTTTTTGCATAATTTCTGATTATTTTCCTTTTTCATCCTTTGTTAAAATTAACAGAATCGCATAATTTCACATTTTTGGGCTCAGTTTGCATAATTTCAGAATTTCTTTTGCATAAAACCGAGGGGACAGAGGGGCAAAAACATATGAGGGGCTGAGATTAGAGATGCAAAACCCATTACATCCATTTTAGCAATTTTTGAGAAAATCAGCTTTCTAACTAATTTAACATACTGCTATACTATACACAGGAACAAGCGTAAAAAGAACATTTTTTTGGTGGATTTTATGTAGTATGGGTTGGGTTTCAGCCAAAAATACTTTACGCATCTGATAGTGATAGCTGGTAACAATGGGCATTTATAAGCAAAAAAATCTCAATTTTTTCCAAAATGTCGCTTAGCTGGTTTTGCATCTCACCCCCTCCTACACACAATATCATTTCACTTATGTAATTCAACACAAAAACACCTTTAGAACTATTCCAATCAAGGGACAATCAATGCTGAAATGGAGAGATAATACTATCAAACATTAAACTGCAGTGTATACTGCATGGTGATCCACACTCAATTATTACTATTTTAGATTCAAGAACAGAAAAGAAACAAGACCAACTTATTATTTGCCCTTATGCAAAAATTTTTCTTACAATCACAAATATAAAAATGGACACAGATCATGATCCAAACTCAAGTTACTGAGAACAAAACAACAAATTTGCAACCTCAGACGCAAAAATACAGAAACACCATTGGTGAGAATGACTAAGAAAAGACTGTGGTACACTTACGTGCATACATCGTCAGGAACCATGGAATAGCATACAGCTGAGGAATACAAAAAAATAAAATAAAGATAGAACCATGTCACACTGAAGCCAACCAAAATCAAACAATAAGGAATCCAGAGCTACACATCCATCACCCTACAAACAGCAAATAATTGATCACTTAAAATCAAATAATATTTAACCAAAAAATCTGCGCTTTTCACAGTCTGCTGTCAAATTTATACATTCTAGTTATACTTCTCGATCTATGGTACAATAACAAACACCTTTGATCAAAAAAATAAAATCGATCTAAAAAATCAGCTAATATTTTCACAAATCCATTGTCTTTAAAAATATACTGTGTTTACAACGGCTCCCACTCCCGAGACAAAAAACAAATTTTAAAAATCTTACATCAGGAATGAAACCAATACCATCCAAGTGATTGCTCAGTTCTGGGTCATGGAAAGCAATCAGGTGGGAGAAAACTGCAAGATACTCTGGAAAGAAAGACGTCATGTCATCTTTATAATATTTGCTTTGGGAAAGTGTTTCTCAAGCCTGATAAGTAATATTTCCTTTAAATATTAGATTGTCAAATATATTTTTTTACATTAAAGGTAGACTACCTTATCACACAATAGACAGTACAAAAACACTTTCGGAAACATTCTGTTCCTCACTGAGTGACAGATACCAAGTTTTTTAAAGTCGAAGAAAAAAATTGTCAAGAGAAGAAAAAGGAAATTGTTAATTTTTACAAAGGAAATTTAAATAGAATCTTCCCAGAGATAATCAATTAAGTCCCAATGTCTCAGTGTGACTCTTCCCTCAGGCACTTAATGAAATCTGAACATGAAAGCTTCCTGAAACAGCAAATGTAACCTTACTGTGAAACTTCCTTTAAGAAAATTAGAGAATGTGTTAGACTACTTGAGCTTACCCTGAATGACAGCAGAGTTATCTCGGAGGAAAAACTTATGCAGATATTTGGGGATGAAGGCGGAGAGACAGGCGAAGGCGAGAGCCTCGTTGTTGAAGGAGAGGGCGAGGAACGGTGCACAGAGCGAGTCCAGGCCCTGCCAGTAGACGTACTGCTGGTTGCTGAGAACCCAGGCCTTGAGCACTCGCTTGAACTTTGCGTGGGCCGAAGGGGAGGAGAGTAGCTCGTGGTACTGATGGCAACGCGGGATGTCCACTTCAATCTGAAGAGAGTATGTCATGTATTAGTACAAGTTTTAGGGCACTTGCAACACAAATAGGTTATTACGTGTGCCAAAGATTAGAGGTCTTCATGGAGAGTAATATATATAAAGAAAATGAGGGAGAGATAAGGACGAAATATATTCGATAGGAATGGAGCAAACGACATCAGAGCACCCGCAAACCACTAACAATCTGAGGAGAATCAGGGATTCAGAACTACTGCAGATTTCAAAAGCTCTCTTTTCCTAGACGGACACATATACACGGACACATATACACAAACACAAACCCACAGATATACGCACTGCTTTCCACATTTAAGCTTTGTTCTGGAAACAAAACGAAGACAAATACAGCACAATTTGATACAAACAATATCCTCAGTTACATAACAGAACAGTGCCACTACTACCACCATTACTTTTTCATTATAAAGCAGAGCTCATATTAAATGAAATGATAAAGACAATGATAAAGAATTGTCTTGAACGAAAAAAAAACCCCAACAACACAGAAACAAATAACAATCTCTCATAAAACAGTGTGTGTTCCACAAAAACAGTTTCATTATAGTGAGTCGTAATGGCATGAGTGTAATAATGATAATAGCTCATCCGTCAATGTCAGAGGATGACAAATGCATCTGCAGAGGAGAATATTTCTTAGGTGAAACAGAAGAACGAAAGGTTAAGATGACTCGTGGCTTCTGCTATGGCCACTGACACCGCTTCTGAGTGTATGGCCTGACGAAATAGATGGTTAGAGGATATTGTCTCACTTACCTGGCGGTCTGTGGTTGTCGGAGTCTCCTTGTCAATGGAGTCGTACATTCCCTCGACGTCTCCCTGATGAAGTCAAAGGAGCATTTGAAGGGGTCAAATGAAAAACCGGATAAGACCAGTTTTAGAAGAAAAAAAGAAAATCGGTTCTAGCCCTTAACTTACAACAGTACCTGTAGAATAACTCTATAACATCAGTCAAGAGAAAAAACTATCTAAAACCTTCACAGACTATTTTTATAAAAGAAATCCATCATTTAAAAAATCTACAATAGAGACTAAGTCGTGGTGGGTGGTAAGATTAATCTGACTTGACCCTTTCATTTGTGAAAAAAAGGCAATAATGCCATCAACCAAAAGGATGTCAAATTTTTCAATAAGTAAAAAATCTATCCACTTATTCGAGAAATATCAGGTTCTTAACCCAATGGACCCGAGACCAGTATATATCGGGGTGCAGCTGACATGTCTATGCCACGAGAAGAAGAAGGATTGACCTGTCTGGTCCTCTAGACAATATTATTCCTCATTCCTCTCCCACCCCCTCCCCGCACTCACCTCCCCTCTCCCCTCATTAATTCCCCACACTCACCTCCCCTCTCCCCTCAGTAACTCCCCACACTCACCTCCCCCTCAGTAACTCCCCAACTCACCTCCGACAACCACTTTTATCCTTGAAAACGAGTGACAGTCTTGG